GGGGGGGCAGCTAACTTCGGAACGACGGCCAGCGCGGGCAGGGGTGGCGGGAGGGGCTTGTGCCTGCAGAGGGGCCCCGTGGGCACCCTACTCAGCGCCCCGCCCCCCCATCGTACCAGGGAGGCCGCTGGGCGGGTGGGGGAGGGAGCCCACCTCGGACCAGTCAAGGGTGGTCCACTCCGGGGGGCAGGTGGGCCCGTGGCAGGCCTCCAGGATGGGCGGGCGCGGCTGCGGGCACGCGCTGTCGTCCAGGGCCTTCTCCTCCGCCGCGGACACCCGGCGCTGGCACACGACGGACCGGCTGCGCACGCCGGCATCGCAGCTGCGGCTGCAGCGAGACCAGTTCCCTACAACCCAGCTGGGGAGGCGCGGGGCTGGGAGAGCTGCGCAGGGCACGCCCCCCCCGCCCCGCACCCTCCTGCCCCCCCAGCGTCATCTGGAAACCCCGACTGTGGCGCCAGCACAGCCCCCCCTTGGGTCGCCCCGCGGGGGGTCACCAGCCCAGGAGAGGCTTATCCGGGTCTGGCCACAGAGCCGCGATCCCCGCGATCCCACCTTGGGGGAGCGCTGCCACCCCCACCCGGGATGGGGCACCACCCCTCAGGCAAGGGGCGCCTGCCCCAGCGGGCACTCACTCGGGTGGGCAGGGCTCCGTGTTGCAGGCCCGCTGCCTCTTGGGCAGCTTGCTGTGGGCGCTGCAGTGGTGGGGGGCCACGGCCGAGCTGTCCAGCTGGTTCCGGCACTCCACGGACTGCACCTGGCTGCCTGGCGTGGGGGAGAGGCCGCTCAGCCCGCCGGCTGCGCCCGGGGGTGGCCGCCCCGCCCCCCAGCCCACCGGGCCTCACCACCCGCACACTGGGCCGAGCACTTGGTCCAGAGCGCGTAGTGCCAGGAGTAGGGTGGCGGCGCGTCCCGGGCGATGGGCGCGTTGAAGCGGTAGCGGAGGGCGGGCAGCTCGGCCTGGGCCAGCACCTGGCGGGCAGCGGCGGAGGTCAGCCAGCGGCGTGAGCTGCAGCCGCACAGGGACCCCTGCCCCCCCACGGTCACCATGACGACGAGAGACGCGTTGATGGGCCCCAGGGCCTCCAGGCTCTGGGTCTGGTCTGGCCCTTGTCGCAGCTGGAAGGTGGTCCCGGCCAGGGGCAGGCGGTGGGGCTGGGGTGTCCCCGGCAGCCCCTCCAGCAGCAGCGATTCCTGGTCCCCCTTGAGGGCTGGGGGCAGTGCGGCGGTCAGCAGCCAGCCTCGCGGGCCCCCGCCCACCCTGCGCCTGGCTCACCCAGGTGGCTGAGGGAGAGGTTCAGGTCCTGGAGGAAGATGTGCACGGAGCCCTTGGGGATCCAGACGACCTCCTCGTATCCTGGACGGCGAGTTTAGCTGTCACCCCCGGCGCCAGCCCCCACCCCGGCTCCCCATGACGGCGCTGACCCCTGGACCCCAGCTCCAGCCTGTGGGGCAGGGATAACAGCTGACAGGAAGCTCAGGAGCGGGAGGGCGGGTGAAGCCAACCCCCCCCCCGCAATTACCCACCGGCCCGGGTGCACCGGGGGCCCCAGGCCCTCACTGGGGCGCCGCTGCGACCCCGGGACTACCTGGGGCTCCCGACACCCCACGAGCCTCTGGGTCTGAGGAGCTGCTGCCTTGGCTACGGGGACAGGGGCGCCCTGCCGCTGGAGAAGTGGGGGGCGTGGAGGGAAACGGGGTCTTACCAGCCCCGGGCAAGTCCGGGCTGAAGACCCCCTCGATGGTCTGGCAGGCGCTGCCGTCGCCCCCACACACCCGACACTTGTCCTCACGCAGGTCGGAGCCCAGGACCC